TTCTCTTCGTCTCCTGTTTTATCTTTAACCTTCATCGTTTCTTGTTCCTGTATTTGAAAATTTTGACCAATTTGGTTATATGGCTTTGTAAAGTTATGGGTCAAAAAGTGAGAAAAGGGGAAAAGAAGATAAGGGTGAATTTTTTGTTCGTCTTTGCGAAACTGCTAATTTGTCACTCCAATCACTTTTTGGTCGATATATGTAGAATAATATTTTCAGTCCTCAAACTTGGGTTTGAACAACTCCACATAGCAAACCTAGCATCTCCAACCGATTTTAGATAGGATCTACCGTTAATTCTGATTGCTCTCTTTCAGGTTTCAGTTCCAGCTATATTGTTCTTGAGTCCTTGACTTTTGTAAGTATAACACTTTTGCTTCTCTGATTTGCCTCTCTTAATTGGTTGTTTTTTTTACTTTGCGTAAAATAATTCCCATGCTCTTCTTGACTATGTTGCCTAGCTTCGGCAGAGTTGGCGATCTTAAGTATGGTGCTAAGATTTTCCATGTTGAGTTTTAATTTGTCATTTTCCTGTCTTGCGCTTCAATTTTCTTTTTTTGATATTCAATTTTTTCCTCCCATTTCTAGATTTGTGCTAGATAAATTTATGAATGTTTGGTTTTAGATGAATGAAGTTTGAAGAATTGGAAGTTGTTTCCGAGATAATATGTTTTACCCTTCGATAATCAAGGAGGACACAAAACCTGTGCTTATTGACTTTCTTAGATATTCAGACATGAGTATCTAAACAATAAATGAAACTGCTATTCTTTTTAAATATATTTGCAAGAATAATGGAGTTTTGTAGTTTGAAACATTTACACTCAACATGATGAGTGAGTGATCAGTTACTGACCACTATCGATCCCTCCCCTGCATAATACTAGTATATGCATATGCTAATTTCAGTCATAAATACATGATTCATGTCTGCTATTTGATTTAGAAGTTAAACTTGGGATGTGCATAATTATTCTTCTTCATGTCTGCTATTTGATTTACTAGTTATTGACCACTATCCCTCCCCTACATGTGTTTTGTTTTTAAAACCACATGTACAAAAGACAAATGTCGGCAAATGCCTGCTGACAGCAAGTGATGCTAACAAGAAGAATCGAATGATTCACACAACATAGTAGCTGGTTGCTTCACTATGTTACCTTTGTCAATACCAGCTTCTGTAAATATGCAACAATAGTTCAAACTATATGCAATATTTATATTATATAATAATGTGTATAAAACTGTTCAACAATATGTGTTATTCTACCTATTAACTCTGGGACTTCTAAAATTGCATTCCACCTGAGTTGTACAAATACATGCATATGATTAAGTACATTGGGCCCGTGACCATCTAGTGCTATCATAATTGTCTTTGAATATATTACATCCTTCATTTATTTTTATCTAGACTTTTTACATTATTTCAGAAATAATGATTAATATGAATATTTTACGCAGTTTAGGTATTTGAAAATAATTTGGAGAATAATTAATTAACGTTGAGGGTAATATAAAAATAATAATTATCTTTTTTTGATATACCAAAAGTGACAACTAATAAGTAAAAGTAAAAGTAAAAAATCTACTTGTAGAGTAGTGTGGACAAGTAAAAGTGAACAGTGGGAAATAATATATAATTATTGCTTTTGTACATTTTATTTGTTGCTAATTTTTTTTACATGTGTTTTAATTGGATTTTTGTTGTAATAAATATGAATGCTAAAAGTGCAAACTAAGTAATTTCCTAGACGAATTCAGTAGTAACTATAATTGGGAAAATTATAAGGTATGATATCATGAAAAATGTATATCTGTTTTAAACTATATCAACAAGAATTAGTGAAAGTTATTTAGAGGAAATAAGATAATTGAACTAATTCATTTTTTGAATTTAAATATGTCACGACCCAAAGTACAACCTAGACGTGACATGACGTATAGGACCCCGAGAGGTCCTACACAAACCACTTAGCATGCATCATACAAGATAATAGAATTTAAGAGTTCAAAAGACAATTTATATCATAAAATGTTTGACAGGAAACGAAGCAGAAAATCTAACATAGTCTCAAAGTCATCTAGTACATCAAGAGTGATTGGGACGTAACCCATGCATCACATACAATGCGAAAAAAGTATAGACAATAAGCAATAAGGGTTCGGTCCTCGGAACATGAGGACTCACCGATCTTCAAATCTACTAATGTGATCACTACTCACGGGGATATGGAATAGGAGCATCAGACCCTACATTAGTGAAACAATGTCGGCAAGAGTATGTGTTAGTACAAAAAATGTACCAAGCATGATAGCAATGCATAAGAGTTATAAAATCATGCTAAAAAGGACTTTACATGACATGCAATGACCAAGCTAAATCATGAGATAAAAGGGTTAGAAAACATAAATCATAAACATGGTCAATGCAAGCTAACTTCTTTAAAACACTCGTGAGATACTTCTGGAAGTAGCCTTAGTTCATTATTGTGGGAAATTTACCTTTAACCGACATAGAGACCATGTGAGCTATAACATGGGATTTGGTGTCTACCCCACACCTAAAAGGGGTGTCCTACTTGCCAAGGTAAGGACATGAATTTCTAGCTTACGTGGATCCACTAGCTAATGTCTATCTAAGACAATCATCCTATGGGGCACATAGGTATGCGATAAGGAGATTGCTACTAGAAACCCGGCCTCAAGCTACTGGAGACAGTGGCGGGTCCAGAAATTTTGTATCATGGGTGCTCAACTATTTTTAGTTCGAAAATTGCTACATATAATGGTTGCTCAATTAATAAATTTCATTGAATTACTAAATTTTGTACATAAATAATAATGTTGTCACAAAAGGCAGTGGGTGCTTAAGCACCCAGAAGTCACAACATAGGTCCGCCACTGACGGGAGAGCTTCCAAATCAATATCCTCTCGGTGCTAAGCGTAAATCCCTCGGAATAATCATTAATCTTAACTTATCTTATCATTAAGAGGCATGGGTAATCGCCTCTTGCCTTATCATCCATGGAAGGCACATCAAGTACCCAATCCAAGTTAAATCTTGATTCAAAGTTTTGTTGAGAAAACCTTTCAATCCTAAGAATCCTTATGTGAGAAAACCTTTCACATTCATGTATTGAGTAATATGTGAGAAAATCTTTCACAATAACAACAAAGTCTAGAAATCATGGTTCATGCATGACTTCATGGGGAATTCAAATTAAAACATGCAATTTCTTCAATTCTTGCATAAGAAGACATAAAACAATCAACTAGATCGTATTTGAAAAGAACACGTGAGATTGAGTAACAACCCTAACTTCAATTGGAGATTATAACTTGCAAAATTGGAGAATTTAGAAATCCTATGGAGGAAAGGACTCCATAGGTGAATACCATCATACCTTGATGCCAAAAGCTTGCAATCAATGGTGAATTTGGAGACTTGATATTGAAACTCTAGCCTTCTTCTTAGAGAGAGAAATATTTGGGAGGATAAACTTGATCAACCTCTAGGATTTTTGAAGAATGAATTGAATTGGGTGATTTTGGGGATGAAAATCATTATATAGGGCCTAGGGTAGAGGGTATAATGACATAGTATTGGGTTAAAACAATTGGGAAAAGACCAACATGACCCTGACTTAAAAATGACGAAGTGCCTCTCACGAAGGGCTTCACAGGCCGTCTAGAGCATCACTGCCCATCTAGTGGGTAGTGAAGATGTCCTGCCCGGTAGTGTTTCACTAATACGGGAATAACTTTTTACTCCGGTCTCGGAATTAGTCAAACTTGGTGGCGTTGGAAAGAGGACTCAAATTTGTTAATTTGATAGGTCATGGGCTACCTAATTCATATTAGGCTGAAAGATATGATCGTTTGAAGTTGATCCAAAATTCAAGGCCTGACAAGTCTCTTTCACGGACGACTTCATGGTCCCTGTGAAGCTTCACGAACCGTCTAGACGTCTGTGGTCCTTCACAATGACCTATGATGAAACCTTGCTGACTGGGTGACTTGTACGGACCCTAGACGGGCCGTCCAAGTCACCACGGGCGGTCTGGGGCACCGTCCAGGGGACTTCTGTCTAGGGCAGTCCTTGATGGCTTTCACGAGCCACTTAATAGGTCGTGGACCCTTACACGACCCATCTAGGGCGTCGTGAAGGGTCCGTGGTTCGCTTTGGATTCGTGGACTTGCTCGTTTGATCCTTTTTAGCTCTTTTTACATTTGAGGTGTTACAATATCTCTCCCCCCTTGGGAACATTCGTCCTCAAATGAGATTCAAGACATCATAAGGAGGATAGGAACTAGACCTAGCAGCCCAACATGAATGCAATCACGTAAATGGACATATCCGAGGAGGAAACATCAATTCTAAGCTAAAGCATGTTCAAAACATCATTTCATAAGGTCTATATTAATACCACTAATTTGATGATACATTGGAATAGAATGCATAAATTATAGGTTAGAATCATGTATTCACGAAGAAAGCTCGAAAATCCCCTTTTGAATGGTCCCAATCTATGATCTGAACCTCCCAAAATCGAATTATGAGGTCTAAGTATAAAAATGGACATTTAATTATGTCCAGGTGGAATCCTTATTCGCAAATGCGATAGGTCCCTCACGATCGTGAAACTAACCCAGTCCCACCACTTGCGAGCGCTGAGACCAAATTGACCCAATCCTCTTACGCAATTGCAAACTCCTCTTCACGATCACGATAAGATCATCGCCAAGAAGAAATCAACCTGCACCAAAACACAACTAAACCAATAATGCCTCAAATGGACCCTCGAAATTCATTCAAAATCATGTGAAAATAAACTAAAAATCACATTCCGAACCTTTTGGAATCATCAAATCGTCGATCTGGGTTCATCTCGACTAAATGTTTACCGTGATAAAAAAAGTTCAAAAGTTCAACCAATGACCCGAATCATACGCTACGATCTTCGACACAAACATATTTTTACTTAACACATATCCCTAATCATTAAGCTTGTATTAATAATATAATAATTCCACCAGGACAAAAATAAACTACTCATAGCGATATCTATTGGCTGGAGCACCTAGATTGATCTCAATTACAAATTCACAATAGAATGAAGATGGTTCATTTTTCCTTTCACCAAATCTACAACTTGTGAGTCACAGAACTTAAACCTTTCATTCATGTGTAAAGCAGATAGAAAAGTTAACAACAGCTAAGTCAGATGATGAACACTCCAAATCAGATAGTTCCATTATTCAGAATGAACTGTTTCAGAAGTGTTGTTGGTTTCCGTTGCGCTCTCCTGTAAAGAAATCTCATCGTTCTGGTCGGGGACAGTTGACATCTTTGATTTTTTCTTTTCCTCCTTGAGAATCACTTGTCTGGGCATCACATCAAGCATAAAGTTTCCACCATTCCATATAGATGCTGAAACTTTGAATATTTGGAATACAACATGCAACTTATATGACAGAAATATGGGCACCGTGAGCGCTGTAGTTGCTATAGTAAATACGGCCTGAAGCAGAATATACATAAGCAAGCGATTCTGATCCCCGAGCAAACCACTAACACGCCACCATACGTTGTTCGCTTTCTTTGCTTTTTTGGACAGCTCCCTACCAAATAATGAATATTAACAGAATCAACACCGACCACAATACAACAGCCAGGAACAAAATAAACATAATGACCCACAGTGACGTTCATAAACTAGCACAAGGACAGATGGAGAAACAAAGGTACATGCACCAAAATAAGACTTTATCATAGGCTGCAAAAATTTGAACACTATGACTACCTGTAAGATGTCATGACTTCAGGGTCTTGCAGAAACCTCTGTCGACGTAGGACATCTACTATGAGGTAATAGAGAACCTGCCAGAGAAAGTATGCAGCTAACGGTACCCAAAATAGCCAAGTCCAAAGGTAGGACTGGCTTTCTACATAAGGCCATGATGCTCGTTCTGGAGTCCCTTCGGGATGCATAGCTCCAAAAAACTCAGGATCCCACCAGCGAATTGTGAAGAAAACCAACCCTGCAGATCAGAATAGTTGGAGGTAATCAATTTGAACTAGCCAAGAGTTCTGTTAAATTAATATGGAGAGAAAACAGGCACATTTTCTAGTTCATTTGAAAAAAGTAAAATTACGATCCCAAAAGATATATCATACGTAATACAATGGTCACATAAACATCTTATGATCTCTGAACAGAAAGCTTACTACTTCTAGGTATTAACACAGTGCAGCACTAAATGTCTGATTACTTATTGAGTGTCTTACATTTTTACTTTTTCATGAAATAGTTAATTCAGTGTTTTACATGATTTGCTGCAGCAGAGGCAGACCAGCCAGATAATTACAACTAAGATCACTGACAGACTTCGAAGTATTAGCTTTACTTCTAAGTGATTCACAGAATGCGGCACTAAAAGGTGATTAGTTACTCGGTATTTTACACGATTTTCTGCAGCAGAAGTAGAACAACCAGATAACTACAATTTACAACTAAGAAACTCTGACAGACTTTGAAGAATTAGCTTTCAGAGGAATTGAACACCCACGAAGCATATGTTATCTATCAGGCATCAAAAGAAAATTGGAAGGGTACCCTTATTACAATCGACCTACTGTTGACCTATACTGTACAATGCAAAATAAACAAGAAATTAAGAGCAAAGCTAAATTGATCAATCAAATATCATTCGCAAAGGCATGATCATAATAGAAATTACAAATAAAAATGGGAAACACGAGGCAAACAGACAAGCTCTCAAGAGAGGAATATCAATAAACCTCATTTCATCACCTTTTTCTTTCCTTCTAAAAATAACTTTACACAACTAATCCTTTGTAGCAATTACACTTTGAGACAAATACTTGATAATGAAACACCAAGCTATGTAATCAAAGAGCAGAGAAATGATAATCCAAATGGACAACCCAACATGTAATCTACTAGAGGTTTTAAAGCAGCAGTGAACTTAAAAACCAGATCCTTAGAATGAAACCACAACCAAATATGGAGAAATAACAGGGATTCAACTATACATATGCATGAGTATATTCAAAACAAGACACCCTCTTAATTTTAGAATGGAAGTTTCTATTGCCCATACCCCAATGCAGTAGTTTCCTTGGTGGGAGTGAGTAAGTTGCTATCTCCCGTAATAGGAAAACAAAAGAATACACTACTTACCAGGTAAAAGATGTATGAAGACACTGACAATTTTATCCACTGAACTAAACACTAAGCTACACCGCCAAACAATCAATGCCCATGCTAGAGGTCCCTGAAGTTAAATGAAAGAGAATACAAACTTAAAGAGTAGACAAATCTTAAAGTCAGTATTAAGGACCTTTCAAATATAAGATACTTACCTCAGCGAATGAGAAACAAACCATGAATAGCTTCTCCTTAGTAGGAAAAAACAGAAGTGTGACTAAGAAAATTGTGTTTGCATAATAGCAGAAGTCCTGCAAAACAAGAAGCCCGAATTTGAATGATTTTCCCATCGACCAGGAATAACTAGACATGGAAGGAACATAAACTATATCCCCATGCTTTAAAGATTGAATTCCTAGTAGGAAGTAAATAGACCTGAATTTTGGGATTAACAATATAAACGTTTCATGGATGCTATTTAGGCAAAGTCAAAATGCCAAAAGCACCAAATAAGTATGATGGTACATCAGTGATAATTTTTATCCACCTTTCTACTATGAATCATCATACTCTTTCATTTAAGATGTTGATTTTGCATTGTTTAGTAAAACTAAAATAAATGAACAAACAAATAGATTCATGGAGTGTGAGATTACAACAGCCAACAACTCAAAATTTCGAACTTCAAATACAACTAGATGATATCCTTTGCATAGAGGTTCAACTAACTACATTGTTTTTCCTCACATAAACAACAAGTTGAAAAACACAAACTGTAGGGGTGAAAAAGTTGAGCTTACCAAAAGATAGTAATGCCATTTCTTGTATCTATAGTAGATCCATCTCAGAGGAACAAAGATGACATAGAACAAACAGTAAACATATCGAATATCCTTAGGCCCTGAGTCAAAAAGAAATTAAAATTCAGGAAGAATCAATTCCATAAAGCTTTAATTAGAGTATAAGAAATTCCACCTACTTGCACCCAAAATAAAGCAAAATGCCCCAAACCCAAGAACACCCATCAGATGAGTCACCTGCAAACATCACGAGTCCAATTAATACAACTTCAAACAGAAAGATTTGATTTATTGTATCAACTCAAAAAGGAGTAATATGCATGCCTTGTTGATGAATCGTTCATGTTCCTCAGCCCGTTTAGCGATCTGTGCAGCTTGTTTTGACAAGATCTGTTTCGTCTTCTCCTTGGTTTTCTACACAAATAAAGAAGACCATATCATTATCACTCGACCCATTGAAGAAATCCTTCAAACACACAAAGTGCAATAAAACCCACCATTGAAAGAAGAAGAAGAAAAACAGAAATTGAGATAAATATGTACCTGAGATCGATCTTTGAAACGCTGTTTGACCTTGCCGAATGAATGACCATTGCTATCTTCCATGGATTCTTCGTTACTTGACATTTGTGTGAATGAATGAATATGGGTAGTTTGCCGATTTAATATTGGATTAAATATCTCGAATTGAGGAATGGTTAATTTATGTTGATAGAGAGAGTTGATGATTGATCGTTAAATAAATCTGCCATTGCCAACCTTCATTTGTTTTTGCAGAGCACACAATTCCATGTATACACGTAAGGCGTCGTATCCTTTTATGTCTTACTTCATTTTTATTTCAACGGAATACATAATCGACCCTCAACTTGTGTCTTTTCCCAACTACACACGTCAAGTTTGTGAATAAGCTCTGACCAACCAACATGGGTTATGATGCAATGGTGGGAGTATTTCATTTTTAATCAGATGTTTTGAATTTGAATTCTGGATATAGAAATTTTTTTATTGGAGCGTCACCTCCGAATGGACCCTGTAGTGCACGATTTGAATTTAGTCAAGGCTCTAATATGGGCTCCAAACACCGGGTGGAAAACTAAAAAAAAAACTTTGACCAAAATAGAATCGAAAAAAAAAGCATCATTAGGAGCTTTCCATTGCTCTTTCGGTGACTCAAACACACAATCTTAGGGTTGCGAACTCACAATTTTAGGGTTGAGTGAAGAATGTTTACCATTCGAACAACTCCTTCTTGTCAATTAATATCTTAATAATTCTATAACAGTTTAGTATATCTAACAATTAATAATTAATAATCAATATCTTAATAATTTTATAACTGATTAGCATGTGTACAAACCAATAAACAATAAATTGAATCAATAAGCTTCAAAAATCTAATTGAATTGATGTATACGCAGCCCTATTTGTGAAGGTTCTATATAATTCTATGACATTATTATGCTAAATTTGTTTAATATGAAATTATTATTGTATAGTTGAAGAAAAGAACAAATCATAAGGTAATTATGTAATTCTTTTTTATACAATTTATTTTAAACAAGTGTAGTGTATGTAGCAAATAATTTATACGCATGATTTTACACTAAATCAAGAATGCTGCACGAATATTCTTTTATCACTTCAACATAATTAAGTTGAAAGAATGGTCACTTTTAACTTGAGTTTTTGGTTAAAATCAACTTTAAATTATACTTCAAACTTATAGTACATTCTTAAAATATATTTTTTGACAGAAAACATCCTCTAAGTATTTAAAAATTGATAATTTTCATCCTTCCGTTAGAATTTTTCAGAAAATTAACAGATCCCACAAAAATCTAGTCACCCATTCGTATTCATTATTTCGAGATAAATCAAAAAAATTATCATGAACTTTTTCGGTGAAAAAGTTTAGCATTATGCAAAATCTTTTAATTTGACAGTTTTTTTCATGTGATTTAATATTTAAAAAATTATCAATTAAAATATGTTTTTTTCTTAATTGAATGTGCTAGAAGCGGTGTTTGTTAGAGACTTCCAATAATGGAGATCAATGAATCTCAAATGCGAGACATAATCAGAATTATGATCACCTTAATATCATATTGTTGCAAAAATTTATTGATCTTATTGCAATTTGACTTTGAAAATATGAAGTTAATTAAACTCCAACTTATTTTCCTTTGCAAGTGAGAAAAATAGCAAATTATATATCCTCACACATCCCTAACATTTTTTTGTTTCAGCAAACATTTGTGTCCAAGATTTTTAATATTCTTTTTGTCAAAAAAATTTTATAGCAGATAATGAAATTATGTAGGAAACTTTTGTTGATAATCACGTGAACTACACATATTTTTGTAGAATCCATTAATTTTTTTAATAATATCTAACAAAAGGATGAAAATTGTTAACTTTCAAATACTTAGAGAAATATGTGTTCTGAAAATACAAAAGAGATATTTTAAGGATGCAGTTTTAAGTTTTAGGATTTATTCACAAGTTTTGATTTCCAATCCCACCAATGTTTCTTCTTTCTTTTATTTTTTATTTTATTAATTTTTTTTTCTCTTATTATTCTCGGATTTATTCACTTTTAAAAGAAAACGTTGAGGAAGAAAAACTACAACACCAAATAATTAATCAAGCTGGTGAATTTTTATTTTTATTTTATTTTCAAATGTGTACCATAAATTTTCATAGAATTTAAATGTGTACGGTAATTTTTCGTATTTAGAGTGCAACTAACTCAAAAATACTTAATTTTACGCTCAATTCTTATCTCATTCTATGTTAGATAAAACGTCTTTTCTTATGCTTATTCATTTTAATAAAATATTGATTGCAATAATTTTGTTTTGTGATCTGTAATAGTTATAATGGGTTGTAAGTATTTTTTTATTTTTTATTGAAAATTCTAAATTCAAAAATTGAATGAACAATTATCTTTGTCAAAAAGTGTTAAAGTACCCGAAAGAGTACTTATCATTTTATCACAAACTTGATTGATGGTTAAATTTGAATTTTAGCATCTAGTTTGTTCTATAAAGCTTAAAATTATTTTTATATTTTAAAATTAGTACTTAATTAAATTAATATGTGAGATATTTGAAAAATACAAATTGCCCCTTGGAGAATTGGTGGTCATTGAGCTTGTCTCTAACCTAAAAAAGGCCACAAGTCAATTATACACAGGCAGTCATGGCCCCATTACACAGAACAAAATGACATTGTAGAAATCTGTAGATAACTCTATCTGTTTCCAATACAAAAGAATCTTATTAATTTATTCGAATATTTTATTTGAATAATGCTTTACTTGCATATGCATTTGAAAATGACAAGTGAGATGCATCATCTTTAAATCTATGAATATAAATATACTTACTTAAAAGCTAAGCAATGGGGCAAAGCCAACTATTCCCTCAATTTTGCAATTAGAAGAATATCTTTCGGCCTAATACATCCATAACTCACAAGGGTAGTAGCTACAAGTTTTTGCAAAGATTTAAAATTGGTGATTTTTAATTTTTGATTATGTTTCTCATTTAATAAGAAAATTGAGAGTCAGTATTTTTAATTATGACCTAATTTCACAAGACAAAAATTTAGAGGACTCTTTAAGAGACATAATTTTGTGGGTTTTGAAACTAAACTGCCTTATAAGACATAATTAACATGTGTCTTGTTAGTTTTGCATTGCAATTTTTTTTGGTCATGTAGGCATAGCTTGTGGATTATGAACTTTTTAAGGCATAATATTCTGAAATTGAACTTATGTCTTGTAAAGCATAACTTGTGCCTTGTGAATTTTGCATCCGACATTTCTTTTGCCTTGTGATTTTTATTGTTTTATCTCAAGGTATTTTAAGTCATTTTTTTATTACATAATGTGTTGAAAGGAAAAAATTAAAGATCACTCCAAAATAGAGGCATTCATGCGAATAGTGAGTCGACCCATTAATTAACCTAAATATAATGTCATGAAGCGTCACGTCATCATGTCACTTAGGCGCTACGTGGCATAAAGTTAGTCATGTGGAAGGTTTACATTGGAAGAAGAATAGTCCTTAGTGAAGTATGCTAAAGATATATGGAGAATTCCTTGGATGACTTTAGAATTTCATGGATTTGCATGGAAGATCCTAGTAATATTCTAGCTATGTAGGATTCTAGAATGAGGGCTTATATGTAAATATGTAGGGACTTGTATAGCAATTAATATTTACATCTTAGGCCCTAGATGTGTAGTATAAATAGAGAGACATTTATCTATAGCACAACCAAACAAGAATCAAGCAAATCTTCCAACTCTTTGAGCAACACAAAAAACCTTCTTAAGAAATTCTATTGTGCCTTTCTTCATTCTCTTAGCGATCTAATATTAAAAGGCTTACTTGAGCTTGCAAGATTGTGAACGACTTGAGAGCAAGTTGTCAAGTGCTGCACAGTGTGTTTAGTAGAAGTCTAAGTCATTGATAAAGTGGTATCAGAGCAAAGATTGATACTGGAAAAATGGCAAATGAGGGAGACATTAATGTTGTTCACACCGCCAACATTAGGAAGTAGGTGGAATGAAGAACCAAAAAGGGAGGAAGAATCTTAAGAAGAATGAGGAATTATTGTACGACCCTACACCATGCAAAGTGCTAACATCTCACTCACCTTCGCCCACTGAGGAAAGTGATGATGAACGTGGGGAGCATCCAATAGACGTTATGCTTGAAATGGAGTGGATTGCGCGCAAGGGTTGACACGGGAAGGTTGTGGAGATTTTAGGCAGACACTTAAACGGGGTCGATGACAAGTTTAAGGCTATTGAGGATTTACCCTTGAGGAGAATGACAACATTCGAAAAGAGTTATAGAAGCGTAAGTATGCAAAATTGGAGATGAAGAAAACCATCACTTCTTGGAGTATCGACTTATGAATGCATTACGCACAATTGAACCCATGAAAGTCGAGATGGTAGTGGTCAAGGGAGAAATTGAAGTTGGAAGGTATGTGACATCTAACAGAGACATGGGGCTAAGATTGAGGTTTCCAAGCAATCAATGTTCAAAGGCACGTGTAACGCGCAAGAGGTAGAGAATTTCATTTTTCATATGGAAAATTACTTCAAGTGTAATGAAGTAAAGAGCGGTGAGAACAAAATCAACATTGTCGTGTTGTACCTCTCAGAGATAGTCATGTTATTGTGGAAATGAAAAGAATTGAAAATTGGGAAGGGGCTTGTAACGACCTGTTTCAGTCGTTATAGAAATGCCAATGGGGAAAATTTGGGGTCGAAAAACTTTTTCGTAGTATTTAGATTTTTTCAACCTTATCCAGATTTGGACGAAATCGAAGTCTTTGAGGTGTAAGGCAATATGGTAACAATCGAGTGAATCAATTATGGTTTTGATTACATGAGTAGTTAGATAACTCGTTAAAAAATCCGTACGACTTTACGAAATTGAATTCGGGTGGGTAGAACTCCCGAAATCAATCTTAGCGTAAAAGGTATTTTCTGAGCGTCGTGGGTTAGAGCTGTGTTGTGAAATGGGAATTTTGGAATTCCTTAATTAGCTCTTTGTCTCAGGTAACCCACTTTGGCGTTGGGTTTTGCCGCTCTGGCGGGCCGCTACAGCGGGGTGACGGCTGCTGTGGCGGGCTCGACGCGAATTAAAGTCGTTAATAAACTCCTAAACAACCTCATTATGCACTTTTCAACTTTTAGAGCTAAGGAACGAAGCCCAGGCGATTCCTACTCATTTTTCACCATTCTTGAGGCTAAAGGTAAAAGCTTTTCACTCTCCGAATCCATTTTTCGATCCGTATAACGTAATAGAATGGGTGAATA